ATATCAGTGGGCACGCAAGCATTGCCGTAGCTCAGCTCCAGTGCGCATGTGTGCGCCAGCCAGCTGGATTTGGGGCCTTTCGGTCCCACCAGAAGTTGGGAAATGGGCTGTTTCCAGTCTCCAGGGGGTGGGGAAGACCATTTTCACCCTCCTGAGGCTCTTAGAAAGCCCCTGGAGCCTGGGGAGGGTGAAAAATAGGCCTACTGGTCCCACCATGCCATCATGTGTTAAAAGCAGGGGGGCACGCAGGGGCTGGGCACATTGGATTATGGGTGTGGGCACACACTTGGGTGACCTCCCCGCACTCTCCCCACTTTTGGCATGCGACGGCAAAAAGGTTAGCCATCACTGGTATAGGGTCTCCTACTTGAGCAGGGGGTTGGACTAGAGACCTCCAAGGTCCCTGCCAATTCTGCTATTCTGTATTCTATGTCTGTATCATATGCCTTTCTGGAACAGAGTCCTTGCTCTGTAACTTGCCCTTGGGAATGAGAAAAAATATTCTGATGTTTGAAGGATGCTGTCCTCTCTCCCCCCCCCCCTCCTTACCTTTTCTCAGCTCCTTCAGTTGTTCTTCATGGGGCCTACATTGACCACTGAATCTATTCCAATTTCTTTGAAGCTTTCTTAAAGTGGGGGGGGGGCGGGGGGAGCATCCATAATGGGACAGTCCTTGAGAGGCAACTGGAGAGTGGGATGACCGCGTCCTCTGAATGGAACACGATGCCACCTAAAACTGCCTGTCTTCTTTGCTGATACAGGACACTTCCTAACCTATTCAGTTGCATATCTGAGCATTATTTTTTATTCCTCATCTCTGTTAAATGTAATGTTCTTACTCTCGGCCCTTTTCCCTGGCTCTCATGTTCTTTGTGAATCTTATTACTGTATATTTCTGTCTTTTAGGGTATTAACTACTTTACATTCGTACAAATTTCACAAGCATTTTCTCCATCTTAATCCTCCTTGATCCAAAATTTTAATCATCCCATAAAAACGGTGAATAAAGGCCCCGAGACTGGTCTTTGGTGCATCCCACCCGGCCTGCCTCCATTTGGTGAGGAATAATTGATCATTTAAGGATGTTTTTTGGGCCAGGAAAATCCTAAGAATCCTAGAATCCTAATCGGCATGCCACAGTGGACTTCATCCAGTACTTCACTGAAAACAAGACACATTTATAGCAGTGTGCAATGTATTGGGGGAAATTATCCAATCAAAAACATGAATCTGGCAGAAAGCCCGCGCCGATTTATCTGTAATGACGACTACTACATTTCCAAAGTGCCCTTCTGAGGCTGCTCTGTCATTTATGGGAATTTCCTTTCTTGCCTTTTCCTTCTGAGATAGGGACAATACCTGCCCCTCTTTCAGTCACCATCAGCATTTCCCTGTTCTGGATTTCTCAAAGGCAAATAAGACGCGTCAAGGACTGTCTAGACCTGCCCTTTGTTCCTTCCTTTCTTCCCTGCAGTTTAACTGGTCCTGGAGATTTAAGCTCATTCAAAACAAAGAGCTTTCCCGGATTAGATTTCTATCAAGTTTAAATCCTGTCCCTTTTTGTCTTGCTTCTGTTTCTTTCGAATAACTGTTGCATTTTGGTGAATCCACCTGATCTCCATTGTGCCTATAATGCTTTTTGCTATCCTTATTATTATTTTTCACACTGAACGTTACTGTAGAAGCAGCGAAGGCTGTGAACTTCACCAGCCAACATTCTGCTTTTTCTTTGAGTGGTTTAAAGACCATGGTCCCTACCCTTTCCAGCATTGCGGTGGGGGGAGGGAGGGGGGGAAGAGGAAACGATGCCTTGCAAGCACAGCTCTGTTTGCAAGAGTGGCGGGCACTCACACATGCATGTGAAGCTCTGCGTGAGTGGCGGGCACTCACGTGTGAGTGTGAAACTCCATTTGTGCCAGCGATGGGCTCTCGTGCGCATGCGTGAAGCTCTATTTGGGTGCATCTGCCACTCACACAAATGGACCTTCACACACACACACCTGCGAGTGCCCACCACTTGTGCCAATGGAGCTGTGCACTCACCTGCCACTTGGACGGCCTGGTTCTGAGGGGGCCATGGCCCAGTACCAGGCCATGGCCTGGGGACCCCCTCCTTTAAAAGGCCCTCTTTCAGCACAATGCACATTTCTTTCTTTTTTTTAAATTTGATTTATATGCCGCCCTTCTCCGGAGACTCAGGGCGGCTTACAATGCGTTAAGCAATAACCTTCATCCTTTTTGTATATTTATACAAAGTCAGCTTATTGCCCCCACAAACTGGGTCCTCATTTCACCTACCTTAGAAAGGATGGAAGGCTGAGTCAACCTTAAGCCTTGGAGAGATTCGAACCAGCAGAAATTGCAGGCAGCTGTGTTAATAACAGGGTGCACTAAACCACTGTACTATCAAGGCTCTTTTCTTTATGTGACAGGGTTTTCATCTCCAGTTGCTACTTTAAGTCTCCCAAACTAATTTTACCATGTTAGCCGAACATTTTTTTTTTCTACCAATCTTTGTTTGATGCGGTCTATCTTGTGCCAACAGTCCTTGATGTAGATATTTCTGGCCCTGGCTCCAGAAACTACATTTTTCCCATGGTCGTCCCATTTGTGTAACCATGTCATGACTTGCAGGGATCCGATTTGCCTTTTCGGTCTGTCAAAGAGGACTGAGAACGGAAAGGATGAGAGCGCGCTTGAGGCCTTGAGCTTTCTTCCAAGGTCTGCATGCCTGTGGAGTCTCGGTTGCAACTATCTCTCGGTATCATTTCTTCCACACGTCTAAGCAAGAAGGGATAATTGCCTTGTCGGTGGACTGGAAAGGTCTTGGGAGTTGTTGTGTCACGTCCTTGATCTTTACTCCAGGCAGACAGTGTGTAACTCCTGAGCTAATAAGTCCAGTCAACAGACCCTTTGTTTCAATTCCTTCGGTAGTCATGAATCACCACTTACCATGATCCTCCTTTGTCTTCTTATCGGGTACAACCTCCTCCTTAGCACCCTTTGGAGGCCCATCCTCTCTTTCTGTTGCCGTGTTTGGCTTCTAAGAGCCTGAACAAGGCTTCTAAGTTTCTGGAGGGTTTCTAAACCCCTTGCTTCTGGTCATTGCCCTCCTTCACTGGGCTGCCCCCGGTTCATCATGCCTTCTTGTGGAGGAAGTCTTCGTTATAGCACCTCCTGCCTTTGCACGTCCACATCCTTTCTCACCAACTCAGGGGTGACCCTCTGCTGCTCCGGTTCTTCACAGACCGTCACCGACGTGCCAGTGCAACTGATGCACACCGTGTTGTTTTCAGGCAGGAAGACCAGCATCGCAGGTCACTTCTGCAGGCTCCTGTTTTCCTTTCTTCTCCTGTTCCCTTCGGGCTCTCCCATCACCCAAGTGCAAACTCTTGTTTTAGAGAATGAATTTGTTAAGGATTTGGCTCCCCCCACCCCACCCCCACCTCCGCTGCTGTAGGAACTTCATCCTCACCATTTCTGGAGGTGAGATGTTGATTTACAGCAGTGTTTCTCAACCTTGGTAGCTTGAAGATGGGTGGACTTCAACTCCCAGAATCCCCCAGCCAGCTACCAAGGTTGAGAAACACTGATTTACAAGGAAGAGAGGCATAGCGAGGCCTAGAAAATAGCCTCTGTTTCTAAGCACACCAGGAGCACATCCGAGGAGAGCTGTTGCCTCTGGACACTGTTGGAGGTCCAGTTTCAAATGTAGGGAAATATTTTTTTAGTGTTTGGAGAAGGGACAAAAGACGGTGCTTGCTGAAGAAAGCTTGCAAGCTATCCACTTGGAATATTGCAGGAGAGCTGAATGACCCAGTGCTCTGGACTTTCTTAGATCAAATAATAAAAACTCTCTCTCTTATATAGCAGTTAAATGGGCGCTGTTGATTTTAAAAGTAGAAATTTTGTTCATATGATGGAGTATAAACCTAGCTGTTGGCTGGGAAGATTGCTATTGGAGAGCCAGGATTTGGTTCTTTTGCTCAAGATAGCACTTGTCCCAGGAGACAGGGCCCTTGGCTTGGCAAAGACCAGTGGAAGTTCAGCTTTTGTTGCAACACGGCAGCACATATGCTGCTTTTGCAGTTTTCCCTCTTCCTCATCCCTCGTCATACCCCCCCGCTCCTACTCCTCCTTCCTTCTCTGGTTTATTTCAAAAAGAAATGAAATGCTGGAATTTCCTGGAGGCTACAGTGATTGCTCACCCTCTCCCAGTTTCAGGACAGCTAGTCCAGGCATGCTAACGCGGGAGCTCCTGGCTGGAGACCAACCCATTGGCTCTCTTGTAAGAGGACAGCAGCTCCTTGCTCATCTGGTGAGGATGCTGTCGGTCACTGACAAGAGATGAGAGGTCTGGAGGAACTCCCCTGCTTTTGCTGCAAAGATGCAGCCTCTAGCCCAGTGTTTCTCAACCTTGGTAGCTTGAAGATGGGTGGACTTCAAGCTGGCTGGGGGATTCTGGGTGGCAGCGCTGGCTGGGGGATTCTGGGAGTTGAAGTCCACCCATCTTCAAGCTACCAAGGTTGAGAAACACTGCAGTCTAGCCAAAGCTTCTGGGGAGAATTGGCTTTCTGCTGGCAACAAATGTGGAGTGGTGGATTTACCACAAATCCCAGACGGGTGCCTGGCTGAGAGCCAAGGAAAGCTGGGGGGCTACCTAGCTAAATTTGAGAATGGACTTCTGGCATCGCCAGTGGAGGCCGAGAGCTGCTGGACATAGAGCCCATCCAGCAATTTAGAAAAGAAAACCACATCAAGAATTGGATCCTGGAAGCTTCTGAAACCATTTCTTTTATCTTGCCGTTCCCTCACCGTTCAACACCAGCGCAAGGTGTGGCTTGCACAGCTCAGAGCGAACGGCACCCTCCTTTCCCCAGCCTGTGTGCCTCTGCATAGGAAACAAAAGACAGAAAGAGGACCACTTTCCCCAGGGGGAAGATCTTCCCCTGAAACTTGGCTAGGGAAGTCAACTGCGGTTTGTTTCTCTTGTTTCCCAGGAAGCGCCTCGACTTCCAGCCAGCAACATGACGGAGGGCTTTGACTGTGCCAGCTGCAAGGAGTCTCTTTATGGGCGCAAGTACATCCAGGGAGACGAGGGTCCCTTCTGCATCCCCTGCTATGACACCCACTTTGCCAACACGTGTGACGAGTGCAAGGAGCTGATTGGACATGATTGCCGGGTGAGGTGCCCCAGTTCTCCTCAGGCTGCCCCTGCTTCCCCCCACCCCCCCCCCCCCCCCGCTTTATATGGGACCTTTAAAAGGAAAGCCGGAGAAAATATAAAATGGTACCGTGTTTCCCTGAAAATAAGACAGGGTCTTATTTTCTTTTGACACCCCCTCCCCAAATAAGGGCTTGCTTGCTTATTGATTGAATGATTGATTGATTGATTGATTGATTGATTGATTGATTGATTGATTGATTGGTTCGATTTATATGCCACCCTTCTCCGGAGACTCAGGGCGGCTTACAATGCGTTAAGCAATAGCCTTCATACTTTTGTATATACCTGCTTAGTAGGGCTTTTGTCCCCCTCTAAGTTCTTTTTTATACAAAATCAGCTTATTGCCCCCACAAACCGGGTCCTCATTTTACCTTCCTTGAAAGGATGGAAGGCTGAGTCAACCTTGAGCCTGGTGAGATTTGAACTTGCAGTAATTGCAGGCAGCTGGTGCTACTTAACAGCACTTTAGTCTGCTGCGCCACCAAGGCTCTTATTATCCAAGGCTTGGCCTTATTATCGGCAGGTCTTATTATTTTGAGGGTGCAGGAGGCGGCGAGTGTGGGACTGGAGGTCCCATCGCTGCCGTCACCTCCGCTCCCTGTTCTTCGCGCCAGCCGAGCGACCCAACACGTCCCACCCCACCCCAATGGCAACAGCTGCTTCCCTTCCCCGCCGTCTCTTTATCGAGAGGGTTGGCAGGTGGGGCGGGGGAGAAGTGAGATGCATGGAGCAAGACCTGGCTCCCCTTGCCCTCTCTTCTCTCCCCCTCGCCGGGCATGACAGGGCTCCTGCCCCTTTGCTTAGCTACCCACCCCCTTTAGGGATGCAATTTGGGGGTGGCAGGTGGGACAGGCGAGAAGCGGGATGCAGGTCTTACCTTTCAAGCTCCGTCGTTCTCCTCGCTGTTGTGTCCAGGGAAACACGCTGTAAAAGAAAACCTCCTCTCGAGTTCGAGAAGTTAGATTGAACTCGCGAGAAGGCTTTCTTTTACAGCGTGTTTCCCTGGACACAACAGCGAGGAAAGTGACAGAGCTTGAAAGGTAAGACCTGCGTCCCGCTTCTCACTCGCCCCACCTGCCACCCCCAAATTGCATCCCTAAAGGGGGCAGGTGGCTAAGCGAGGGGCAGGAACCCTGTCATGCCCAGTGAGGAGGGGAGAAGAGAGGGCAAGGGGAGCCACGTCTCGCTCCACCTGCCACCCCTCTTGATAAAGAGATGGCGGGGAAGGGAAGCAGCTGTTGCCATTGGGGTGGGGTGGGACGTGTTGTGCCGCTCGGCCGCCATGAAGAACAGGGAGGGGAGGGCATGTCCCCCCCTTCCCCCTCCCCCTCCAGCCTTGCCTCCTCAACTCATTTTGGTTGCGCGGCAAGCAACCAGAGGAAATGGTGGGACCGGCTGTGCATGCGTGTAAGTAGTTGGTGGGGGGGGGGGTTTGGGGGGGGGGCTTATATTACCGCATGTGCTGAAAAGCCCGATTGGGCTTATTATCCGGACATGTCTTATTTTTGGGGAAACACGGTATCAGATGATCAAGACAGTACCCAAAACAAATCACAGTTAGAGTTCCATAGCATCCCCTGGGGCATGTCGTTGCTTTAATAGCTAAGGAAGCCCAGCCACCTCCTTGAGCAGCGGAGGGGCCCTGATACTTCCAGCCTTTTGGGCTACTGGAGAAGACCCATGGCCATCTTGGCCTTCTCGAGGCTCAGGATTTGCTCTTTTGACCCACCATCTCAGCTGTTGACCCCTTTTATTTATTCCTCTCTCCCAGCCCTCCCTCTGCAAGCTCTTTCATTGATCCCCTCCCCTCAAAGGCCCTTACTATGCCCACCCAGTTGCTCTCTGGGAGCAACCTCTCCAGGTTTCAGTCCTGGGAATTCGTAGAAGGGGTCCAGGAGCTTCCCGACCGACACATGTTATGAAGTGAAATGTCTGCTCTCTGGAGCTGCCCTTGCCTTGGTTAGGTGGGGCTGGGGCTGGATTGGCAGGATTCAGACGAGGAGGAGAGGAGAGGGAGGGAGGTGAGGTGGTGATGCGGAGACACATTAAGTATAAAATGGAGTTCAAGACCTTTATCAGGTAGGTGTGTGTGTGTATGTGTGACTGTGTTTAAAAAAAGCCTGTTGTCTTTATTAAGACAGCCTGAATGTCTGGCAGTCTGGTGTGTACAAATCCAGAAACCTCTTGCTCACCTGCCTTCGTTCCAAGACAGCTACTTTGAGATACCTGATGCAGTGTCCTGGGAGGATAAAAGGCTCTGAGATTGCTTTGTTGCTGCTGTCAGAGTTTGTCCCATTCATCCTGGGTAGAATCCCATTAGTGGAAGAGATGCCCCTAACCGTGTGTGTGTGTGTGTGTGTGTCTGTTGGGACCTGTGATGATGCTTTAGATCTGGGGGCAAAGGAAAGGTGGATTTGTTGGAGTCTGCTTCTGGGGTTAGCATCATCTCCTCTTGTCCCACCTTGCTTATGAGAACCTGCCTCAGGCTGGGCAGAGTCTTGTCTGCACGTGTGGATGAGCCTCCCGTGCGAGGGCAGCACCTCGTCTGCTTTGGGCTGAGCATACCGTGAGTGCATCTGAGTGAGCTGCAGGTGGCAGCCGACAGGGCTTGGCTCTCTCTTCTGTTTCTAGGGCTACCTGCATGGCACAGAGGGGCCACTTCGCAGGAGAAATAGAAACATCAATCCCAGGTGCCCGGAAGCGGTAGGCAACTGGCCTCTGACCTCTGCTTCTCACCCCCACAGGAGCTCTACTACGAGGACCGCCATTACCATGAGAGCTGCTTCCGCTGCTTCCGTTGTGACCGCTCCTTGGCCGATGAGCCTTTCACCTGCCAGGGGCAGGAGCTGCTCTGCAATGGCTGCTATTGCCAGGAGTTCTCCTCCCAGTGTGTGGCCTGCCAACAGGTGGTCATGCCAGGTGCGGTGATGATGATGCCCCTAGCCCCAGACCCAGCAGCCCCTGGGCTTTCAGGTGCTCACCCTCCCTCCATCTGCCCACAGGTTCTCGGAAATTGGAGTACAACGGGCAGACCTGGCACGAGCACTGCTTCCTTTGCAGCAATTGCCAGCAGCCCATTGGTGCTCGTTCCTTCATCCCAGAGCAGAACGAGTATTACTGCGTCTCCTGCTATGAGAGCAAATTTGCGCCCCGCTGCACCCGCTGCAAGAAGGTTGGATCTTGACCAGGGGAGGGGAGAGGAGGGGGATGCAGCTGGTAGAAGCGTCCTAGGGCAAGGGGGCCCAAGCCAGCCTCTGGGATGAGCTTCTACTCCTGTGCTCACAGACGCTGACCAAGGGAGGAGTGACTTACCGGGACGAGCCGTGGCACAAGGAGTGCTTCATCTGCACCGGCTGCGAGGCCCCCCTGGCTGGGCAGCAGTTCACCTCCCAAGAGGATCAGCCCTACTGCATCAAGTGCTTCGGCAGCCTTTATGCCAAGAAATGCAGCACCTGCGCCAAGCCCATCACAGGTGTGTCAAGAGGGAGGGGGACTCTGGAGAGCCGGCTCCCCGGCAGAATCGGGTAGAGGTGGGCCCCTGTCCCATGCCTCCTTTTTCTTCCCCAGGTTTCGGGGGAGGCAAGTACGTCTCCTTCGAGGATCGCCACTGGCACCAAAGTTGCTTCAGCTGCTCCCGCTGCGCTGCCACACTGGTGGGGAAGGGCTTCATCCCTGACAACGATGAGATCCTGTGTCGCGATTGCGCCGGCAGTCTCTGAAAGGGCATCCCGGGCAGTTGTCCTCTAGATTGTGTGTGTGCCAAAGTTCTCTCCTGGGGCAGCAGCAGGGCAGGGATGGTCCTCCCCTCCCTGGCATTGCTGATTGGCGCCAGCCGCCTCTTTCCTGCCAGACAAAAATGGTGGCTTTCTCACCCGGCCTGTCTCTGATGAGCTCAGGCCGCTTCCCTTGTTCACCAGCAGCGTGGTGGTGAAGTCCACCCCCACCGACCGTGATCTGCCTCGAGGGCCATTTTCTTCTGGGTCCGGAAGAGAGCAGGTGCGTGTCTCTCAGAGGGCGGGAGCCTTCCATTTCCCACCCAAGCCTCTTCCCTGAGATCCATCCCGGTTGTCCGACAGTTAGTAGGAGCAAGCTCAGCTGTTCCCCTTCCACCATCATGTTTCTTTCTAGCCTGCCCACTTTTGCAGGGGAAAGGAGGCCTCCGTCCCCCAGGCATGGAGTACCACTTCTCTCATTCCCCATCCCCACCCCCCACCCCCAAAGTTCTGGAGTGGCAGCCAGCCTTTCGGCATCCTTCCTTTGCTTTGGTCCCCGGAAATCCCTGAATGGCCGAAAAAGAAAGCTTGCAAGGCATCAGAAAAGGCTCCAGTTTTTTTCTCCCACAACCGCTGGGCTTGAGTTTTGAATCCCCTGACCTCCACTACCCTCCCCCCTCTGGGCCTGGACTTTCTACCCGCTGCTTTCTGTCCTGGGAGTCTCCCACCCTTCAAAGCCTGCCCTCCCACCTGGAAGAAAGGGGCTCTGTCGCTTTCTGCAGACGTTCTCTGTGGCCTGATTTTCTTTCCTGCTTTTCTTTGGTGAAATGCTATGCATGTTCCTTTAAATGCACTATGTAGCCATTCCCTCAAATGCTTTGCTGCCGGGGAGTCAGAGACCACAGCTGGGTGTCTGCCTGTTGGTGGGGTTGCTCACCTCTGGTCAGTGGTTCTCTCCCCTCCTTTTCTGACTTTCTCTAATAAATCATATTAATGGATTACTAAGGATAACTCACTTGGAGAACAGGGGGGATGAGATGGGTTTGCCGGGCTGGATCCGACATTTAGTCTTCTCACTGAGCTGCTTCCCAAATCCTAAAGAATTCAGCACTTCCTCCTGCAACCCACCATCTGATGCTGCTGGGTGTGCCTGGACCTCTGCTCCACCCAGGATTTAGTGCAAGGAAGGGGAAGGGTGCCCCATGATAAGGGTTGCTCCCGCCAAGGGTAAGCACTGCTTCGCACCCAGCCAGTCTGGCACTGCATCCAGCTGCAACCCATGTTTCTCCAGAGTGGAAAGGAGAGGAAAACATCTGCAACAGAAGTCAAGACTCTCTGGCAAGCAGAGCTCATAACAAGTGGATGTCAGCCAGAGTAGCTATGGCGTATTATGGCTTCCCCCACGCCATCCTTTCTTTCCCATTCAGGGAGGTCAGCAGCTTGGGAAAGGGAGTGAGTTCGGGTTAGACTTTTTCCTGCTTGCGGAAGACACTCAGCAACATTACGGGCTATCCGAAGACAGTGGCTTGCGTAGCATTTGAACGGGGGAGGGGGGGGTGCTCTGCCCACACCTCCAGGCACTCGGCAACTGAGCGCCTCATACCTCTACACTGCTGGAATCCATTAGTGGTGGGGTACGTCTTCCCAAAAAAGGAAGCGGATCGTTTGGCCAGCAACATCTGGATTCTATCCCAAGGGGATGGATGGGTCATAACCTGCTCGGTCTGCCTGATTTATTTGTGGGCTGAAATGAGATCATGTGGTAAGGCCTGGCAGAGAAGCAGTGAAAAGGCCTCCGAGCTGGATGAGAAACCGGATGCTCTGGGCAAGGAGCTGGAGCTCAAGGGGGAAGGAAGCCAGACACATAGAAGCCCCACAGGCATCGGGAGAGGCTTCAGCCAGCTCTCCTAGTTCAGCATGGGCAGGGTGGGCCTAGTGCTGCACCCGTTCTTCCCTTTACCTTCATGGGTCTCCTGGAAAGATCATCCACTGCGGCAAACCACAGTGGTCTGGAATCAGTCCTCCTCCCGAGTCCAGTTCTATCCATCCCAAAAGATACTCAAGCAACAGCTCTGCAAACACCAAGAAACAAGCAAAGCTATTATTGGAAGCCAACATTTGTCAAAAACAGATCATGCCAGTCAAAACCATTTTGCATTCTGTGGCAAAGTGACTAAATTAGTGTACCAGTGAAATGCTGTGGACATAGTATACTTGACATTTGACAAAGTAGGCCATAAACTACTGCTTGGTAAAATAGAAAAATGTGGGATACACGGCATCACCAAAGTGTAGTCTTGAATGGAACTATATATGGAAGGAAGTATGCAGCAGGATACCCCAAGGCTTTGTCTTAGACCCAGTACTCTTCAATATCTTCAGAAACTATTTAGACAATCGTTTAGACTAGCCAATCCACCAGAAGATAGGCTAAAAATCTGGAAGGAACTCAACAGATTAGAACACTGGGCCCTATTTAACAAAATTCAATAGTGGGAAAAGTAAAGTTTTACACCTAGGGAAGAAAAAAAACAACAAATGCACAGATACCGAATAGGTGATACCTGGCTCAATAGCAGTGACTGCAAAAGGGATGCAGAAATCCTAGTGGACAATCACTTAAATATGAGGCGGGAGTGTGCTGTAGCTACCAAACAAGCCAGTGCAGTCCGAGGCTGCCTCAACAGTGGGATTATATCAAGGTCATGTGAAGTACCAGTACCACTTTATACTGCCTTGCTAAGACTCCAGTTGGAATACTGCATCCAGTTTTGGTCACCACAATAGGGAAAAAATGTTGAGGCTCTAGAAAGAAAGCAGAGGAGAACAACAAAGATGATAAGGGATCTGAAGGCTAAAAACAGGATGAATGGTTGCAAGAACCGTCTAGTACAACAAGGAGTAGAGGTGACATAGTAGTCTTCCCATATTTGAGTAGCTGCACAGAGAAGAGTGTGTTAACCTATCTCTAAAACACCTGAGGACAGGACAAGAAGTAATGAATGGAAACTTATTGAAGAGAGATCCAATTTAGAACTAACGATCAATGGAATAAATTGCTTTCAGAAATTGTGGATGCTCCATCACTGGGGGGGGGGTTAAAAAAGAGATTGGACAGGTATTTGTCTGGGGTGGTTATAGGGGTGCTTGAGCAAGGGGTTGGACTAGAAGACCTCCAAGACCTTTCAACTCTGTTATTCTGTATTCTGTAACTATTCTACCCATCGATAAGTATTCATGAACCACACTGGTCTAGCTTCATTTCTAGCTTTGCTATCTGCCAGGATGCCTTATATGTTTATTAAAGGATGTTTCAAGACATCTAAAAGACGTGAAGTAGCTTATAACATTCATAAAGATCAATAGTTCACAATTAAAATTCAGTGACTAAATAACAGGCATATGGAGCCAGTCATATTTCCATTAAGATCCACATTTTTCTTGCAGGAAGCTAGCAACAATTAATGCATTTTTCAGACTTCAAAGTTCTCGAAGCACGATGGCTGTAGCAACAAGCTGAACCCTTCGTGCCCCTCATGTAAAAATAATTCAAAGAAGGGCTTCAGCTAAGATCTTCCCAGAAGGGCACTGTGAGCAAAAGCACCTTTCGGAGGCTGTCCAGGGTGAAAAGCCCAGGGGGGTTAACTGACCTTACACTCTAGTTGCTGCTGCTAATCACTAGCAAGCATGTGGGCAGCCACATTTTGCATCCCAAAGCAGCTTTAAAACTAGCCTAACGATGACATGAACAGATTGCTTGCTGAAGCTATCCAGCCTTTCTGGGTCAGCTCCTTTCACCTGTTGTTCTGTATTCTGTATCCCAAAAACCTATTTATTTGATTTCTATTGCCTCCCATCTTTTCAATAGCTCTACAATAAAAAGGTAAAGGTTCCCCTCACATATATGTTCTAGTCGTTCCCGGCTCTAGGGGGCGGTGCTCATCTCCGTTTCAAAGCCAAAGAGCCAGTGCTGTCCAAAGACGTCTCCATGGTCATATGGCCGGCATGACTCAACGCCAAAGGTGCATGGAAAGCTGTTCCCTTCCCACCAAAGGTGGTCCCTATTTTTCTACTTGCATTTTTTACGTGCTTTCGAACTGCTAGGTTGGCAGAAGCTGGGACAAGTAACGGGAGCTCACCCCATTACGCAGCACTCGGGATTTGAACTGCTGACCTTTCGATCGACAAGCTCAGTGTCTTAGCCGCTGAGCACCACATTCCTTAGCTCTACAATATAAATAGATAAATACATAGCTAGGCATCAACCACTCAATTAGCTACACAGGCGATTGGCTGTATCCCAGGGCCCCAGGCTTGGGCATAACACCTAGTTTTCAAGGGCATGTAATGCCTCTGTAATCTGTACCAACAAAAGCTTCCAAATGCACTTCAAGGGCAACTCCATTTAAAGCACATTGCAGTAGTACAATTTCTGGAGGTCACAAAGGCAAGACCATAAACAGGAAACACACACACACACACACACCAGCCCAGGCTTGGGTACAACTGATGCATGATCTGAAGTTATGCAAATGCCCTCCTAGCCAGGGCTGCCACCTGCTTCTTGAGCAGGAGCCATGAATCCAGTAGGATCCTGGTTTGCACTCTGTGTCATTAACTTTGAAAAAGTTCAGAGAAGAGCAATTAAGAGATCAAAGCACTGGAGACTAAAACATAATGAAGAATGGCTACAGGATTTGGGTTTGGCTAGTCTAAAGAAAAGAATTGGGGGGGACATGATAGCAGTATTCCAGTAGTTGAGGGGCTGCCACAAAGAAGAGAGGATGCAATCTATTCTCCAAAGCACCTGAAGTAGGACAAGAAACTGGTTGGAAATTAATCAAAGAGAGAAGCAACCTGGAATTAAGGAGAAACTTCCTAACAGTGAGGACAATTAACTAGTGGAACAACTCACCTTCAGAAATCGTGGGTGCTCTGTCACTGGAGGTTTTTAAGAAGAGTCTAGACAGTCACTTATCTAAAATGGTATAGGTTCTTCTGCTTGAGCAGGGGGCTGGACTAGAAGACCTCGAAGGTCCCTTCCAGCTTCTATTCTATTCTATTCTATTCTATTCTATTCTATTCTATTCTATTCTGCAATAAGAATAAACGGGAGGAACAAGAGGAAGAGCCACAGCCGAGACAATGGTCAAACAAAAGAAATCTTTGGTCTCCGGCAGGATTTGAGAAAATCTCAGACAAAAACCACCCTAGTTCTCTTGAAGGGAGGAATAGATATGTTCAGAGTTGCAAAATAAAGTTACCATAACCTTGTAATAAAAGTAAATATTAGCATAATCTTGGCTTCCTGGTATGATCTGCCACAAAGGGCTGACAATTTTAAGGTGGTACCACTCCATTCTCAACCAAATACGGAAGGTGTCTGGAACCAGGTGGTCCAAAACCCCAGATCCATTCAATTTTATTTGAATTATGCTGAAGCCTGTTGTGCCATCCAGGCCCTCACAGCCTCCAGGCTCTGAGACAGAACTACCCCCACATTCAGACAATCTGGGATGGAGATATCCCAAAGTCATCCCCAACCATTGGACGACCTCACCCAGCAGTTCCATCTCCAGAATAGGAGAAGGGACTGACCCCTGTGACACCCCACAAAAGAAGGGCTTCTTTCCCAACATTACTAGAACCAACCCAAGGGAATGAAGACAACCGGCATAAAACAGTGCTGCCCACCCCCAGCTCCCAGAGCCAAACCAGAAGGATACCATGATGTCTAATTCATCAAGAGGAGCAAGGATGGGTGCACTACCCCCATCCTTCTTCTGCCAGTGAACATCCAAGAATGCAGTCAATGCCATCTACTGTATATCCAGGGTACATACCCAGACTTGAAGTCAAATTGAAAGGGGTCCAGATGATCCCCTTCTTTTAAGGTTTCCTGAAGCTGCAGCTCAACCCTTTCTGTACATCCTTTAACAATCACCTTATGAGATGGGAATGCACCACTATGACTACCCCCTCTCTCAATGAGGAATTG